GGGCTTGGTCTCGATTCTCAGTTGGCGGTCAGACGGATCCCGTGAATGGTGAGAGCACAGGGCAGGCAAGTGTTAGGGGCATTGTGTCAGCCGTCTGGGGGACCGGGTGGTACCTTGTCCCCATACAGCTGACCTGGAGGGCTGTGTGTGACCGAGTGGAAGGCTCTCGCGGGGCTCTGCACAGGCCATGTTACCCATGGCTTCACAGCCTCGTCACTCTCAAAGAACAGGGACACTTCTCTCCCGAAGGGTCAGGTGACAGCGGGCCCCCCCCCCCCCCGATGCCTCCCCCGTCATTGCAAGAGCTGCCCGGTGCGCTTCAGGACTTGTCACCAGGGACAGTCTTTAGGCTGTAAGACTTTAGCCCTCTTACAGGACACAGTGCAGTAGCTGAGGCCCAGCCCTGATAGCCCTTGTTTCCTGCCTTTGCTTTCAACACCAGAAGGTCCGAAGGGCCCCATGGATGCTGGAGGCGAGGCCGGCAGTGCGGAGGGTTCCAGCAGGATCTGGAGGGAGGGCCGCGGGGAGCCAGGTGCGGGTGGCGTGCAGCTCTCACTCCCTTACCTCTGCCTGAGAAGCGCTTTGGGCCACTGGAGGCTTCCTGGGCCCCGACCTCTGACCTTTCATGAGGTCTTGTCCTCCGCAGCCAATCCAGGCCTTTCCTGCCCTCGTTCATTTCCCCCCTTCTGGCCTTGCCTTCTTCCAGTTTCCTGGTAGAGACTGACACTTAGTAATTCTTGTCTAGACCTGTGCCATCCAGCATGGTAGCCGCCGGCCACATGTGGCTCTTGAGCGCTTGCAGTGTGGCCAGTGTGGCATTATGTCCAATAATACACTCCTGATTTCAAAGACTTAGGACAAAAGACAAAAACAAAAAACAAAAAAAAAGTAACATCTCAATGATCATTTTATGTAGATTACATGTTGAAATGAGAATACTTTGGGTTTTTGTTTTTTTTTAATTTTTAATGTTTTATTTTTGAGAGAGAGAGAGACAGAGACAGAGTGCAAGTGAGGAAGGGGGAGAGAGAGAGGGAGACACAGAACCGGAAGCAGGCTCCAGGCTCTGAGCTGTCAGCACAGAGCCTGACACAGGGCTCAAACTGACAAACCTTGAGATTGTGACCTCAGCTGAAGTCGGATGCTCAATCGACTGAGCCACCCGGGAGCCCTGAGGTTACTAAAAAATTTTAAGACACATAGGTCGCTGGCCTTTGTGAACAGCCTATTTTATTCTGTTGGACAACACCGGTCTAGACCCTGGGATGAGCTATAATCAGTGTATAGTCATTCCTTCTACTCAACACACACGCTCTGAGCACCTGCAAAGTGCAGGGTGGGCTTTGTGACCCCAGCTTGCCATCGTGGCCACCTTCAACTCAGGAGGGCACCAAGGAGGCGCACGCAACAGAACTGGGAATTGAAATCCGAACCCGTGATCCATCCAGAAATTCTGAACAGGTGGGTGCCAGGTTAGGGAGGGTGACTCAGCCAGTCTGAGGTAATCCTATCAAGGGATTTTCAACATTCGGAAAAAATGCATACCTGGAAATTCTCACAATAGCGGGCTTTCCAGCAACTTTTGGACTTCTGGTCCCCCTCCACACTCTTTAGGAAACACTACCAGAACTGCCCGTGACATGTTCTGACACCAAAGTAAGTACTTTTGCAGACTGTTTCCAGATCGGATGCTCCGTTCCAGCCCAGAGCCTTCCACCTGGGCAGATGGGAGGTGTGCTGGCAGCAGAGGGCGGCAGAGGGCGGAGGCTCCTGCCCTGAAGTTCCCATTGCCACCCAGCGTCCTGCACCTCTGGGCATTGGCACAGGTAACTTCTTGGGCTCCAGGGTTCAGGGTTGGGCCTGAGGCTGAGAAGCAGATGTCAAGAGTGAATGCGTGCTGACCTTCAGGAGTCACCAGTGACAAGTCTCACTCATGCCCTCTTGCAGAAGCCACATTCTTCACTAGCTGAAGGGTCAGCTGTGGGACACATCAGAGTCTGAAGGTCAGGACAGACGGAGAAACAAGAAGGGAGTGGACATGAGGAAGGAAGAGCGGAGAGGCGGCAACGGCAGTGAAGAAAGTTAAAGAGAAGGTTTCCCACCTCGAGCAGACGGGGCAAAGCTAGCGGCCAGCACGACTGGTGAGTTTGAGAGGGATTCCAGCTGGGCTGCCTGGTCAGCCAGGGCTAGGAGATGGGACGTAGGTGTTCCCAAAATTCTCGGGGTGGGGGGTGGGGGGGAGGGACTCAGATGTCACAACAGCTGCCCTGAATCCTACTCCCCCTGCATGTGAACGGAGGTGGTCCTGGGAGACCCGCCCTTTTGGGAACAGGCTCTGCTTCTGGAACTTCCAGCTGCCCATTCTCTCCAGGCCCTTGACCTCTGCTGCTGTTTCCTGCTGCCATCATCTCTACTGTATCTTACGTCGCTTTCATTCCCTGCCCCCACCTCTCATCTTTCCCCTGAAAAAGCAGGACTTCCAGAGCCAAATACCTCCAGGCCCAAAGCTTGGAAGGGGAGAGGTGGGAAGAACAGGTTCCTCTGGTGTGGGAGGGGTTCTAAGCCGTGGCCTTGCTCAGTCCCTCTCCACGTGGTGGGGGAGTCCCAGAGGTGAGAAACAGCAAATTCTGTTTGCAGGCTGAAGAGTAGGCTCCCCAGGACCAGATTCACAGTTTTATCCACCTTTCCGGAATCTCTTGGGAGGCGAGAGAGGCTTCTCTGGCTTTCACTGTAAAAGGGAAGTCGGGGTCTCCTGCCTTTGAGTAAGAGGCTTCCTATTCACCTCCGCCTCTGCTCTGCCAAAGCCAGGGGAAGGCAGTTCTCTTTGCTGGGAGAGCCGGGGAAGCGGAAGGGCTGGCCCTCCACCCAGTCAGCGCCTATTTCCTGGCCAAATGGAAAACTACACCCCTTCGCCTGGGTCTCCCAGCGTCCAGTCCTGGGTGCTCATTTCCTCCCCTCGACAGTCCAGTCATCACGGTCCTCTGGCACCAGGGAAGGGTCCCAAGTCACAGTGAAGTCATTTACAGAGAAAGAGACACAGGTTGGTGTGAGCTCCATGGAAGCCCCAGGACATGATCTTTAATTGATGTTCCTGTCCCTGCCTCCCCACCCCGAGCCCCCGATGACATATTTACAGGATGCTGGATGGAGCCAGTTCCAGGCCCAGGCCAGCGCAGCCTCCACTCCGCCCTGGGTGCTGCTGGCGTGGGCACTGCCCGGGTGGGGCGGGAGGATGCAGACAGCTGGGAGCCCAGTGGGCTGGTCACAGGAAGTCTTGAGTCCTCCACGTCCCCACGCCCGCTCCCCATGTGTGCACACACAGGCATGTCTGCGTGTGTAGAGGTATTCACACTCGTGCAGAGATGTGGATCCAAACGCTTGTACCACCAGAGTGTCCTACGATCCCGCAGCAGCAGTTCGAACCCCCCCCTCCTGCTTGTGGGGCTGGTGGAGCAGGACTGGCCGGAGGGTGCCCCGCCCACAGCCTTCTCTTGGGCAGTGCCAGCTGGACTGCAATATTGAGGACCCCACTATAACCACATCCGGCCACCCAAAAGGGTGTCAATGGGTCTCAGTCCCCAGTTTGCCCTGAGGATGTGGTGCAGATAAAGGGGAGCCATTTCCTCCTCACGGGTGCCCCAGAAACAGATGGACTAGAACAGTTTGAAGGCCCTGGGGTGTTCAGAAACCCCTGCGGAGTCTGGGGGGGCTACTCCTGGGGAGAGGGGCTCTGCTCATTTGTGGCTTTCATCCCATAAGGTAGCTGATCCCCATCTTGCCCTTGCCAGCTGGTGTTTAGCAGTCGAGCCAAGGCTCCACTATCCCACGGGTCTTGAGGGAAGGCCATGGGCAGGACTGAGTTTGTGAGTTTGCGGGAGGGCTGAGGAGTCCCGCCCGGCCTCAGCCCGTCTCTCAGGCTCGGCTGCTGCGGGACTCAGAGGATGTAATGGGGAAAACAACTGTAAACTTACTACTCAGCCCTGGAACGGGGGTAAGGAGCAGAATGGGTTTGACAGGGCCTGGAGGACTTTTCTAGAAGCTGAGGATCACACAGGAGACCTGCCTTTTCTTACCTCCTCTTGTACATCACAGGCAAAACCCCTCACCCTCCAGTCACCGGGCCACCCCTGGCTTTTCCTGCTGGGGAGAATCCTCCCTGGGAAGATGGCCCAGCCTGGGACCTCTAGTCCACACTGGGGGCCACCGAAACCCTGAGCCAGCCCCGGAATCACCCTTCTTGAAAGGGGGAAGGTGCCATTTTAGTTCAGGGACTGTATTTTCTAGACCCCCAAATACACGCGTCCCGGCAGGGACACAGGATGGTCACTTTGAAATTGAAGACAATCTGGGACATGTGGTCGTCGCACCCATGACCTAGGCCTTGGGCGCAGAACAGGCAGCTTTGGTTTGAATCAGCGCTCATTCTGCTCTCCAAGCTCAGCAGGGCTGGGCCGAGGGGCAAGCAAGGACGCCCCACCCCTGCGTGGCTTGGGGACGGCTATGTTCAGTGAGAGGATTCCAGGTGTGACCATCCAGGGGAAGGGCCCCGGGGAAGGGCCAGGCCTCAGTTCCTCCGGTCCCTCCTGGAAATGTCAAAATATCCCCACAACTTCCCTCGCCCCAGCACCCCCAAAGTTACATTCATCAGTTAAGATTCAGTAAAAAAAAAAAAAAAAAAAAAAAAGTGTAGATGTCAGCCCCCTCCCCCTAAGTCCCAGAGACCTAAAACCCTGGTGCCAGCTGCCTGGTTTTGAGGAGGGGGCCTTCCCAGGCCATGCCCACTGCGGGGGGGGGCATCCCTTGAGCCCCACCCCCCACCTTGAGCTGCGGCAATCCATGATGATGGAAGCTACATTCACACAGGGAGAGTCGGTGTGCAAGGCCAAAGCCGCATGAGGTGGGGTGAGGGACCATGAGGGAAAGGCCCCAGGCCTCGCCCATCCTGGTGGTGTGAAGGGCAGGGCCACAGCCCCCCCCCCCCAACTCCCCTGGGACCAGGAGTTGAAGGGCTTGGGCCTGGAAGACATTTGCATGGTGCCTCCCTCCGTGGCCAGGCGGGGGCAGCCTCGTGGTTCAGGGCGGAGACGGTGGGCGCCAGGCTCGGAGGGAGGGGATGGCACTTAGGCCCCTCCGGACCTGGAACGGAGAGGGGGCGTCAGGGGAGGATGTGCGGCAGGGCCCAGAGGGAGAGCCCCTGAGCCGGGCCCTGGGAGGTCAGTGCTGGGCCCTAGAGGCGGCAAGTCACAGGCTGGCCAGGGAGGGGATCTGGTGGGAAGTTCAGACAGCGGTGACATGGAAGACAAAACAGATGGGACGCAGAGGTAGGCTCCCCTCCCGGGTGTGGGGGCTGCAGGGACACAGCTCCAGGGCCCACCTGGGCAGGGGTGATGTGGCCACTGGAAGGGCAGGAGTAAGTGGACCAGGGCCTGGGAGGTGGGCAGGAGGAAGGGGCAGGGCACGCTGAGGGCTTTCTTCCAGGCGCGGGGCTCCCCCACCCCTGTAGTGACAGCAGTGACAGCAGGTGGGGGAATCAGCCCCTGGCTCCCCCCTCAACAGAATGTGAGGTGACGAATGAGATGGAGGAGACAGGGACAGCGGGAGGGATGACGTGGCCGGCGTCACACTGCCCCCTGCTGGGTCGGGTCGTACCTTCCCCGGCGGATGTTTCTGCAGGAGCCAAGGAGAGGACAGACAGAGAGAGAAAGGAAAAGGCGCCATCTGTGACCTTGCCCGTGTCTCAGAGAGGGCCTTTCTGGCTCCCATGAGACCCCTTGCCCCAGAGACTGGCCAGGGTCGCTAGGATCTGGTCACTAATGACAGGCCTACAGGGAGATACCTGATTCTGCATCTAACGCCCCACATGACCCTGGGCCTCAGGTCCCTCCTCTGCACCTTGAAGGGGTTAGATCAGCTCGAGGCCCCCAGACTCAGATGCTCCCAGAACACGGCAGGCTAGGTGGGGCCTAGGGACTGGCTGGGGCCTAGGGACGGAGGACACAGCCCTGTTTCTGGCAGCCCCTGCTCAGCTCCACTCCATGGCCGTGTTCGGATGATCTGAGGGCCAGTCTTCTTTTGCAAGAGAAGCTCGAAATCGGGACTGTTAATGTAAACTCTTGGTGTTTTAAATGTGAGCAGAACAAGACCCTGTGGCTGGCTTACACTCTGGCTTATTAGCTTAACTTCTCAGAAAAGCCCCCTCAGCTCCAGCAGCCTGGGGTCCCAATACCCGCCCCCCCAAGAACACCTAGGGATGTGGGGGCCGTGTGTGTGTCTCTTACTTAAATCCCCAGCCCGTGCCGCCCAGGACGATGGCTGCAACAAGGACAGCCCCCGCGATGGAGCCGATGATGATGTTGGTACCGCTGGGACCTGGGGAGGAGGGCAGGCAGTTGGCAGGGACAGGCGTGGAGAAGGGGAGAGACAGAGCCCCCTCCTGGCCAGTTGCAGCCTCACCCTTATATCTCTCAGTCTCCCCGGTGGGTGGAGACGTGGGCAGGGGGTTGTGAATACTACAGTCTTTGCCGGTCCAGTCGGGCTGACAGATGCACTTCCCTTCATTGCTGCAGACCTAGAAGTGTGTGTGGGGGGGGGTGGGCAGCAGAGGTGAGAGGGGCTCTGTCCCGTTGTGAGCTCCTGCTCTGTCCCGTTGTGAGCTCCTCCCACCATCCCCGGCCCCCAGACGCGCACTCCGTGGTGGGAGCAGATCCGGCGTTCTCCGCTGCCGGGGCAGGTGCTGAAGTTGAAGGCTGAGGCGGGCAGGCAGCGATGATCCAGGCACAGCATGTTGGGCCCGCAGGCAGTGCCGTCCTCCACGTAACTCAGGTCGGAGCCGTCAGCCAGCTGGACGTGGCCACCCCTGGGGAACAGGCACGGCCAGCCTCAGCCCCCGCCCCCTCCCCCATAGAGGCTGCAGCCTGCTCTCCCCCAGACAGGGTCCCAGCCCAAACCTGCAGTCCAGCTCCTTGCCCTGGTGGTAGAAGGTGACACTGTTGATGTCTCCCCCTAGATCTCCCAGCCGAGGAGCTCCAGAGATGTTGACACAGAAGAGGAAGCCACAGAGCACGTCTCTGTTGGGGCAGCATGGAGACAGTGAGCTCCAAGTCTGACCTCCAACCCTATTTCTACTACTACTGCTACTATTACTACCACTGAACTTGAATTTGCCTTCTCCCCACCGCCTGATTTTTCATATATTCTCTATGGGGACTCATAGGCTCCATCCTAGAATCTTCTGTCCCAACTCTGAAAACCCCCCAGCCCCAGAGCTGGAGAGGCCAACCAGGAGCCTTGGCCACTCACTGTTTATTGCCCTGGACCCAGCCTTGGCCACTCACTGTTTATTGCACTGGACCCAGCCTGATCCCTTGCGTCCACAGTTCCCACGCTCTGTCCCCTCCACGTTCAGCTTCTCATAGCAGAAGCGATCAGCAGCCGCTGTAAGGAGATGATGCCCGGCGTCACCCACTCACCCCAGAACCCGCCTGGGGACCTCAGGCCTGCACCTCTAACACCCTGGGCCGATCCCCAATCCAGCTGGGTTCCTGAGATCCTGGAGAGCCACACACTTGTAAGAGGGTTATTTTAGCCAGAATTTGCCCCTCCCCAGCCGCTCGATTCTAGGTCCTCCAGAGTCTCCACTCCCACTCCTAGCCGAAGACTCACCATGGCCCCAAAGGGCTTGGCACTGCCGGTCCCGGGTTTTGCAGCGGCCTCCATAGCAGCGGCCCTAAGGGGCAAACAGGAGACTGAGACACTGAGTGGTCAGAGTGAATACAAGACCAGAGACTGTACTGAGCCAGGGCCCCTGAGGGGGAGGAGCCCCCACCCCATCATACCTGTTCGTGATCGCAGTAGTAGCCATCCAGCTTGTGCAGGTTAGGGGGACACTGTGGGGAGAGGCGCTGGACTGAGAGCTGAGGGATGAAGGGGTGCCCAATGCCCCCCTCGCAGGGCTCATAGTACAGGGCTCTTCAATGTCAAGGACAAGAAGTCTGGCTCAGAACTCAGGCTACGATGCAGACTGGCAAATCCCATAGCGTCTCCAGCCTCCCTGGGTCCTGTACCTACTTCCCAGAGCTGGGAGGACTAAATGGAACTAAATACCCGGCATGTAATAAGGACTTAAGAGATGTTAACTAATATTATCACACACTCTAATCCCGAGCACACATCAGGCACCGTGCCAGGGCCTTGTTATCCCAGCCAGACTACGCTGATATAATGACTGAAGGAAGAAAAGCGGGAGGCATGAGGAACCCATTTCTCAGTCGAGGAAACTGAGGCTGACCAGCGGCGGCGACACCAGCAGCGCAGCGGAGGGCAGTAGCTCGGAGAACAGTAGCTCCCCGGAGCCAAACCGACAGGGATAGGGGTTGCCTCGCCCGGGGCCCCTCAGTGCGGCTGGGCCGGCCGGACCTGGCTCGAGTCCCCGGTGCAGGTCTCCGCGATGTCGCACTCGTTGACGGCCTCTCGACAGGACACACCCCGCGGCTCGTACTGGGAAAGGGATCGCGGCTCAGGCCAGCACGGCCGACTCCCCGCCAGCCTTTTTCGAGGCCCCCTCGCCCTACTCGGCCGCCGCTCGCCCCACCGCCCAGCCCCTCCCAGCCCACTCCGCCCCGCCCCCAGGCCCGCTCAGGGTTCCCACCCTCCCACCACCTGTGGGTAGGTGCCTCGCCCCCTTCTTTGTAACCCTGCCTTTAGTAGGCCCTTGGGGGCGCACGCCCCACCCTTCTCCCACTCCATTGGTGCATTCTTTGCATCAAGTCCCACCCCCCTGCACTTACTCCGCCTCCAGCGGCTCCTCCTGCCTCAGCCCCGCCCCTTATCCGGAAGTTCGCAGCCCCATCCCTCCAAAGCGTGGCTTCCGTCCCGCCCCGGGGGTTAGGTGCCCCTTACCTTGCAGCGGCGACAGCAGAGCCCGTCGCTGCACATGGCGTCGTGAGTCAGGGTGCATTTCTTGCAGCAATTCCCGCCCGCACGGCTGCACTCCTGAGGGACGCGGGGACAAGGGCAGGGAGGTGGGCAGGTCCTGACCCTCCCCACCCAGACCTTACCTGGCGCGCGCCCCCGTCCCCTACCTGGTGCCCTCAGCAGTCTCTCACCTGCACCGAGCCACAGTCGCACTCCTCTCCTGCCTCCACGAAGCCGTTCCCACATTCAGGCGGGTCCAGGAGCTGAACAGGGAAGGGGTGTCGGGAGTCTGGCCGGGACCCTGTGCAAGCCTCGTTCTCACGTCCCCGCCCAGGCGCTGGTACCTTGAGGGGCTTGTTGAAGAGACAGCTCCCACCTCCCTCCTGCAGAAACTGGTTGTATTCATCGATGCTGCAGCGCGAGAACTTGCGGGGCAGGTAGAATCTGGGCAGGGGTAAGGGACCGAGCCGCTGAGTCCCGGCCCACGCCTTCTCTAGTCCACTCTCTCGCCCCTTCTCAAGATTGGGGACGGGGTGCACAGGGGGACTAGGTCACCATCTCGAGGAGCCTGAGGATCTGTGTGTCCGGAGACTGCATGATAATCCTCCTGCCGTCAAGCAGAAGTGGGCAGGGGACGTTGCTCCTGTCCTCCCCCCACCCCAGCCTGCCCCCCCAAATCTCAGGACTCAGGAGTTGGAGAGTGAGGGAAGGTGCCTCCAAATGAGGCTTTGGCGGCACCCAGTGTCGGCAGCGCGCACTACAGTCTAGCAGTTTTTGTGTCCGACTAGGGAATCTGGGTTTCCTGGTGCAGGGTCCTCAGAAAACAGGGCTTCTTGAAATCCAAGTGATCCCAGTAGCTGGGCCTTTTGAGGCCACTGGGTCCCAATGACCCCCCACTGGGTCCAGATTTTTTTTCCCTTGCCCAAGACCCTCCCCTGGTTTGTCCTAAAAACTCACCCGGTGTCCTCCATGATGCAGCCCAGCCAGTTGTCCGGGCATTTGCAGTCCCCTGAGGAGTGAACCAAGTGGATATAAGGGAGAGTGGACGACTCCCCCCTCCCATGGACACTCTTCACTTCTAGCGCTGCTGGGAGTGGGTCTAGGCTGGTTGTGGGGCCACACGGGGACTTCCTTGATACCTGCTGAGCTCCGGTGTTTATTCCACATCATGCCCAGGTTCTGCCCCAGCGTTTGGGCCAGGGTCACTGCCATGGCCCCCATGTTGTCGTACTTGAGGTGAGGAAGATGGAGCACAAAGATGTCTACATCCCTCCAAAGACACAGGGCTCATATCCTTCACAGCCCGTCTCCCTTCAACTCCCGCCCCCAACCACACCCCACACGGCTTACCTCATTCACACCCCCACCCCTGGACAGCGAGCAGATGCCCCCCACGTAGGCGGCCCCACTGCTGGTGCTCTGGAAAGTCCTGCCCCTGGAAGGGAGAGGACTGTCAGGAGAACCCCCTGCCTTGCCCATGGTGGCTTCCCGAGGTGTGAAGGGGAGGCTGCGGAGCCCCCCGCCCTAGAGCCCTTCTTTCGGGAGGTGAACACTGTCCTTCCTGTCAGCATGTGTGACCTCAGGCAAGCCCCTTCCCCTCTCTGGGTCGGTTTGTCCATAAGCCAAATGAGAGGTTCCTTTAAGATCATCTCTAAGGAGTTTTTTATCAGACTTCTTTCTTCTACCGGGCACTGGATCCTTGAGGAAGGAATGCGGGGACAGTTTGAAAGGAGAAGAGGGGATGAAGGCGTGGTGATAGGCAGAGGAAGATCACTAGGAGCAGGGAAAATGGGCAGCAGCCTAAGATGGAGGGGAAGCTGTCTGGCCTGTTCCAAGTGGCTGGGGGCTGGTGCAAGATGAGCCCAGTGCCCGGGCCCTGCATGAGCGCCTGGCACAGAGCAAGTGGTCAGCAGCCCCAGGCACTACAGGGACCAGGAGAGGCCGCAGGATGCATGGGCTGGGGGACTCACGAGAAGAGATGGGTAGCGTCACTGGGCTCAGGCAGGCCCTCCCGCCGATAGACCATGAGCCGAGCTAAGGTCTCCAGGAGGTCATCCTGCACCTGGATCTTGTCCCCATCTGCCCACGTTTCCATGGCAACCAGCACGATTCGGGTGTTGAGTTGCTCCTTATACATCTGGGCTCAGAGGGGAGAAGATGAGGGTGGGGCTGGAGGGCAGGGGAGTGTGTGAGGGGGACAGGAGGGCCTCACACTGTCTCTCCCTACCAGAGGCTGACACCCCTCCCCGCCCCCAGAGCTCACCCAAGCATGTGTGTGGCGGGGCACTGGGGCGGGGGCGACAGAGGAGCGGAAAGGGAAGGGAGGCAGCTCACCACATCTGCCAGGTTCACAACGGACTTGGCAAAGTTGCTGGTGAGGACCACCGACTGGCGCATCTGCTCAAACTGGGAGGAAAGAGAGTGGGCAGAGGGCCAGGCTGCTTCGTGCCCCCTCCGAGAGTTGCCCCCAGGCTGGGATCTTACCAGCTGGTGGTCGTTGACCACGATCAGCTCCACGTACTTGGTCTCACTGTGCACAGTAGGGTGGCCCCGGCGGACCTGGGGGGCGGGGGGGTGGGCACTTGGAATCAGTCACCTTCATGCCCAGCGTCAGGGCCAAGCCACGGACAGGCTCGAGGGTGCTGACACCTCCAGTCAGGGACAATGCCAGTCCCCCACTGGTGGGGGTCCCCTCCCTCCCCAGCCTTGGTACAAGGGGACACAGTCTCAGTTTGTCCATAATGTGGACAGGTGTAGACACGGGTGGTAGGAAATGGGGTGGGGGACTTCCTCCCGGGCATCGTTCCCTGGCCCGCAGCCACATCAGTCTGAGCCCTCCTTTGCCCCAGTCATGGATGGGGTGTCCTGCTCTGGACCACAGCCTGAGGTCTCTGCAGCCCGAGGTCTGTGCGGGCCCCCGTACCTGCCTTTTCCTTCTCAGCCTTGGCCGGTTCACGGGAGCAGAAGGAGCAGGGGCAGCAAATAGGCAGCCTGGGGGGAGGGGCCGGGTGAGGGGGGCATAACCGGTCCCCTCCCCAGCCCCACTTTCCCTCCCTTACCTGGTTCCCTGCATCCGAGGGGGGCTGGGAGGAGAGGGGTCCGGTAAATGAGGTGGGGAAGGGGTCCCTGCAATGAGGGGGAATTAGTTCTTGGGGGGCTGACCAGGTCTGCTCTGAGTCCAGATGCGGGGGGGACAGCTCCAGCCCTTCCCCCCACCCCACCCGAGGGTGACCCAGAACTGGCCAGAGCTCCCATGTCGGATCTGATCTCCCAGATGCTCAGATTCCAGGGCTAAGACCTGGGGTCGCCCTCAGAGACGGGGCAAAGGACACTGGAGCCCAAAGAGAGGTTACTTGAGGGACAGAGGGGACATTGGAGCTGAGGGCACAGGGGGAGGGAACCAGAGCTGGGGTGACTGAGGAGAGCAGTAAGGCTGAGGTTACCAAGGGAGGGGGCAGCGACAGCCATTGGGAAATGGCGCGGCAGGGCTGTCGGAGGGGACTGGAGGGGCTCACCTGGGGGGGGTCCTGAGGCGTGGCCATCTCGCGGGGCTCCACGATGTAGGTGAAGTTCCCGTCAGAGAAGACCCCACTGCAGAGAGAGGTGCAGCTCCCCACCATGCATCCCCAGACCAGGGGCTGGAGGCTTTTCCCGCCGCCCAGCCCCTCCCCATACTCACTGCAGCCCCTGGCAGGTGGAGAGGGCGGCAAAGGAGTGGGGGTTCCCCCGGAGCTTCCCCTGGTAGTAGCAGTGGTCTCCGGCCCCCTGGAGGAAGAGAACATGAGCAGACATGCCCCCTGCCCTGGCAGGAGAGGTCACGGCCACTAAGGCTGCTCGGGGTGCAGGTGGCTGTGGTTCCTGGGAGTCTGGGGCCTGCTTTTACTCTGGGTGTGCTCCTAATTTGCTGTTTCACCTGGACAAGTTCCTAGACCTCTCTGGGCCTCCTTCGCCTCACCTACAAGATGAGAAAGCTGGACTACATCAGTGGTTCTCAACCATCTGGTGCAGGGCTCACAGATTCCTCCGGAAAGAACTAGCACTCATGTGCCGGGCACTGTGCTAAGCATTTAACACAGATGAGCTCGCTTAATCAGATGAAAGCTGCAGACTCCCCCAACAGTGTGCACGTGCGCACACACAGCGTGTTCACGGACACCACTGCCTCCACAGACCCCCTCTGGACACGGTCTGTGGCTGAGGAACTGTGAGTAGCAGGTGTCCACTTGGCTGGGGCTTTTGGGTCAGAGGGGACAAGCACCCCCTCCCTGCTCCTGCAGAATTACTTGTGCTCCAGTTACTGAAGTGGCTGGTTGGGGGCTCAGGGGGTGGGGAAGGAGGCTATTTATAGACACTCATTCATCTTTGCTCAGGCCCTTGGGCCTCGGGGGCTGGGACCCTGGTGTCCCAGGCAGCCGGGAATTCCCAAGGCCTTGGTGCTGAGCAAGAAGGGCATTTCCCCAACTCCTAGAAGAGTCTGGGCATGGAGCAGGGAGGGGCCTTGAAAGCCTTCATGTCAGGCAGAGAGGCTGACTGGGAGTCAGACCTTGGAAGCTGGGTGAAGGGAGCTTGGGCTCCACGCCATTGGACAGGCCACCCTGACTCTGAGCCTAGGAGCCTCCACGGTGGGGACAGATGGAGGCTCCCAAGGGGCTGGGCCCACCCGAGTATAGGGTGTCCCTCGGACCTCATCTCCAAGGACCACCTGTCTCTTCGTTCCACCTCCCCCATCCCCTTCCCAAGGCACTCACAGTGCTGTGCTGGGTTGTCCCCTCCCGGCTAAAATGGCGCTCCACATATTGTGAAGAGAGGAGGTGACTGAAACAGACAGAGGGGGCAGGAGCAAGGAGGGGGTCACTGCTGGGGCTGGGTCAGGCTTGGGTCCCCGCCACCGCCACCGCAGCTCAGATTCAGGTCGCAGGACCAGGCCCTGCCCCCATCTCCCCACCCAGCCACGTCCAGGCTGTGCTTTTGCCCACCCGCCGCCCTTCCTCCCAGGCTCCGGGCCACACTCACTGGTTCAGCTCCAGGTCCAGAGTGAAGTTTGAGTTGAAGGCTGGGATGACGAAACTCACCTGGGCCAGGTGGACAGGCTGGGGGTGAGGAGAGGGCAGAGGGGAGTCAACCTGAGGAACCCCAGAACAGAGACTGGGCACTAGCACTGGGGAGGAGGGGACGAACCAGCCCAGCAGCTGAGGGGGCCAATGATTCGGCTGGAAGACGCTTTGTGCAGGCTCATCTGCCTCCAAGACCCTGTTCCTTTCCTGGGAGCGGAGACAGGAGTATGCATCCCTGGGTACAGCCCACCCCACCCTCTGCTCCCCCTCCCTGGGGCTTGGTGAGAGGTATGGGGGACAGGGGCCAACCCCTCCCCCTGGGGCCAGTCTACCCAAGCAGGGGGATGGAAGGCAGCTCAGCCCGCCTACTGCTTCATGCCGCCCCCTCCCGCTGGCAGCCCCCCCTCACGTGGACCACAAGGAAGCCCCTAGAAGTCCCATGGGAAAGGGGCAAGCTGGAGATGGGGTGCAGTGTGATCCCTGGGCTCTGTAAAGCAGGCCCCTCCCTTCCTGTATCCTGGCCCCAGCCTCAATTTACTAAGGAGGCCTCGGACTCTGCAGACAGGGCGGCGTGGGTTAGAACTGGCAGCTGGGGTGATGGGAAGATGCCATTCTGTCAGGAGGGAAGAACTTGGCTCCTCTCCCCCCCAAGTCCATTGCCCTCTGCCTTGCCCAAAGCAGCTCATCTTTAATATTTCAATCCCATGGTTAATTTTTAAACACGGAAGGTTTCCTGATAAATTTTTCAGAGGGGCCTTTGCAGTGGGAGGCTCCAGGTTGTCATGGCAACGAACCAGGCCTGAGCAAGATGGCTGCCCTCCCAGGTCTGGGTGCCCAGCTACTGTGGGGAGTGGGGACTCCAGGCCGTGTGCCTGGAGGAACAGTGACCTCAAGAGAAGAGGGGGCACGAGACTCTGGACTCAGGATGGGTCGGCCTTCTGGGCTCCCGTGTCCCCACTCCAAGCGTCAGGTCTCACAAAGACCTGGAGGCACAGCAAGGACCCGAGAGGGACCGGAGCCTTCTTCGCCCCTCTATTCATTTAAGAAGACTGAAATCCAGATCCCCAGGTGAGGGTCCCGCCACTGGGCAGATATGAGGCTTTTGTTTGCTGCCTTTCTTTTGCGGGGAGCAGGCTGCAGGATGGAAGGGGGTCCCAAGGTCACAAAATCTCATTGCCTGGTGCTGGCTGGCTTCCGTATCAATCACTTAGATTTCTCATTTTTATTGAGCACTTATTATGTGCCAGGCACTCTAAATACTTTGCAAGTATTATCATGTCTGATCTTCATAGTAAGCCAGTGGATGGATGCCACTGTTATCCTCATCTGACAGATGGGGAAACTGAAGCACAGAGAGGTTAACTAACTTGCCCAAAGTCACTCAGCTAAGAAGTCATGCGGCTGAGGAGTGCCTGGGTGGCTCAGTAGGTTAATTAAGCGTCTGGCTTCGGCTCAGGTCATGATCTCTCAGTTTGTGGGTTCGAGCCCTGCGTCAGGCTCTGTGCTGACAGCTTGGAGCCTGGAGCCTGCTTTGCATTCTGTATCTGGCTCTCCCTGACTCTCTCTCTCTCTCAAAAATAAACAAACACAAAAAATGTTTTAAAAAGTCATGCGGCTGTGATTCAAGCCAACGGAAACAGTTTCCAGAGCCTCCTCACCCCCAAGGTAAAGTAAGACAGAAATGGCCCAGTGTCCATGAGAGGTTGTAGGAGAGGGGGTGTGGTGGGGTCAAGGCCCAGAGCCTAGGTAGACAGCCCTCAGAGCTCCAAGGACACTGATTCGCCCCACCCCAAACTGACTGAGGGGCAAGCTCCATCTCAAGCCCCTAAAGCATCCATCAGAATTGAAATAGAAAGTCAAGGACAAGGAGTCATTGTTTTCCTCTCCCTGCCCTGGCCCATCTCTGCTTCCTCCGTGCCCCTGGGCCTCTACCCCTCCCACCCCACCCCCTTGGCATGGGCTATTCTTGCCCTTCTTCTCCCTTCCTGGGCTCCATCTATCTCTGCCTTTCCCACTGGTCTCTGTCGGGACTACCTCTGCCCTCCCCTGCCCTCAGGTCTGTGCCTCCTTGTTCTTTCCGCCCGGGATGGATAAGCCCCTATCTCTGCGCCTACTGGCCACCCAGAGGAGCAGCCTGTTCAGGCCCTTTGCCCTGAGTCCACTCTCTCAGGCTGTGCAACTTCAGGAATGATCGAGCAGCCTCTCTGAGCCTCAGATTTCCCCCACTGAACACGGTCAGATGAGCCCAGCTGCAAGGCTGTGAGGTCGGCTCTGTGTGGTGGGGGTCGTCCTGGGCCTGGAGACTTCTGGCAGGGTCGGCACAATCTCCCCCACTCAGGAAGTCAGTACAAGCTCACGATCTGGCCTCCCTCGTCTCTGTGTGGGGGAGGTTAGAGGAAGAGGAGGGAAACCAGATAGCTGGGCAGAGGGTACACGGGGACACTCCCTGTCTGCAGGAAGAGAAAGATCAGGCAAACCCACCTCAGTCCCCAGGACCTCTGTATCCGGTCACCTGGGGTGGGGGCTGCTGCCGGCACGAGTCCTAAGGCCACCCCCCAACCCCCCAGCCAAGGTTTAGGCCCGAGTCTATCAAAGCCAAACTGCTACTTGCTTGGTCTGCCTCTTGCCCCTGACCCGCCCCTGACCTCACCCGTTATCCCTCAGTCCTTCCCTTGGGAGCCCCTTCTGTCCCCCACCACCTGCCCGCCTTCCTCTGTGCCCAGCTCAGCATGGCTGGTGACCGGCCGGCTGGGCCTCGACCCCGTGCCCTGCTCTTGCCTCCGGCTCTCACGTGTTCGGCTCATTTGATCTCAACTCACCCAGGTCGTCTGGTGTTCATTTTACAAGTGGCAGACCAAGGCTCAGGGAGAGACACTTGGAGGTGACTGGCCCTGGGCCATGCTGGGGAGGTGTGGGGTCAGATCGCACCCTGGGGCTGCGGTTCACGTCTGCCGTGGCAGCTGTGGCCACGTGGTTTCGGTGACTGTGCCCTCCGCAAAGCTCCCTTGTCAACAGCCCG